CCCAATCTAACATTTCGGGGATCAGCAGCAAACTCGGAGAATGTTTGATCGAACTCTTTCTATGCCTCCTCATCTGCAGGATGCCGCATCACATCATCGCCTACCCGTCTTTTCTTATGCCATCTCATGTCTATGGCAGTATGCGTCAACATATACAATCGTTGCAACCTAGGTTTCAGGGGCAGACAACGCATGAATTTTTGTGGGATCTTAGTCGTTCTATTCTGAGATGTTATTTTGAACCTCGACTCATTGCATATAGGGCATGTATCCAACGTTTCATGCTCTTTGTAGAATAACATGCAATTATATTTGCAAGCGTGAATTTTTTCATAACCCAAACCCAGACCATTCAACACCTTTTGCGCGTGTTTATGGTCTTTCGGCAAACAATTGTCCGTCAGAAGCATCCTCTTGAAAACTCTCAAAAAGTAAACGAAACACAAGTTCGACATACGATACTTTATTTTTCCGTGCATTAGCTCCAATGGCCGTGAGAACAGAAAAGATCTCGCACCCTGGGTATAAGTCTTGGTTGACATTGTTTAATAATTTTTCATATTGTTCAAACTCCGTACTGTCTATTGGTGTAGGCACATCATCTTCCCCTTCCTGATTGATGTTGGTCGATGCAAATAGAAAAGCATCCTGTATAATATCCATGACTTGATCATTATGATCCACAATAGGTTCAACATTGTCCACTTTTGTGGCATTTGAAGATGAAGCATGGTCTAATTGTTCCCCGTGAAGGTTCCAAATGCTATATGTCTCAATCATTCCATTCCTTACTAAATGAAATCCAACATTTTCAATTGCCTCACACAACGTGTTGTTACACCTCCTACAAGGATAACGGATTCTAGTTGCACCCGAGTTGTGTCTACGTGCAATCTCAATAAAATCCTCGATTTCATCCAAGTATTCGTCTGCGCATCTATTCGGGTTCTGTATCCACCTTCTGCTCATAACTCCTGAAACCACAATCACAACACAACAATCACAACAACTTCATATGAAGTTATAATGTCTCCTTATGCCTCCGGTAAGGGCCCTATCCCATTTGGGAATGCATAGTCCTGCCACGTAACCTACGGCTATATGAGATTAGATTTCGACGTGGATAAATTTCGCCAGCATCTCAATACAGTTCTTGAGGTGGGCATAAGTATAAATACCTACGTACCACCCGAAGAACGTACTTAGATGACACCGAAATCTCCGCAATCGAAACCTAATCCTGTAGCCGTAGATTACGTGACAACACTATGCATTACCAAACTGTCCAAATAATGGGACAATTCAAGAATTAATTGGACCGCAGTCATGCTTTACGCATCCATGCACGAAATCCAACTAATCTCGAACATGAAACTAAGTGTTACTAAAGAATAATAATAAAAGTACGAAGTTAATTTCAATTAACTTCATACATCACAACACATTGTGCTACGTCACGCACAATTTAACAACATAATATAAATATAATTTCACAACAAAAAATATAAACATAACAAACTAAGTTCAACATAATGTAATTAATTTAATATGAAATGAATAAAATACCTTCTCAATCGTTCTCCACAATCGTAAATTATAAATATCTATAATGAGAACAAAATTAATAGCGTTAGCACAAATTTACATTCATACTTTTAAACAAACGACAAATAATACTTATCCAATGAGCGTATTGAATTCCCAGCAGAGGCAGCAGCGCAGCACAGACAGAGAAAGGTTTTAAATTTTTTTGCATTCTGCTTCTGCAATGGCAGAATCCAGAGATGTAGAAGAAGGATTTTGCGAGACGAAACCACATTTTCGTTGCGCAAACTATCGTCGCGCAAAACCATTTTTTCGTCTCATAAAATAACTTTTTTTCGTCACGCAAGAACCTATCAACATCGGATTTTTTGCGCTACAAAAACTCTTGTTCGTCGCGCAAACCTTCGTCACGCAAACTCTAAACAGCATCGCGCATATGCAAATTTCCGTCGCCCGAGAATGTGCCGACATCAGAATTTGCACGACGACACGTCTTTTCACCGCGCAAGTATTTGGCACCAAAAAACGGTATCGCACGTTTTTCTGTCCACTTTTACTCGACAAAATTTGAAATCGTAGCGCAAAAGTTTGGCACCAAAAAAAACAAACCCGGGTTTTTCTTCCCCATTTTGTGCGACGATTCATTTGTTTGTCGTTCTAAGTCTCTTTGCGCCACCAAACTTTTCATCGCGCAAGTTTTTGTCTGTTTGCGCGATGAATTTTTTTTTCCGTCACTGGAGTGTGTTTTGAGCGACGAATATTTGTTCATCACGCAAATAGTAAAATGTAGTAGTGGATAATGAAAGATGAGATTTAAGTGTTATGATGTAGGATAAATATTTTTTTAAAAAAAAATTGGGGATTTGGGGCGGGTTTAGGAGATTGCCCCCAATGGAGATGAAGATTCCTCAAAAAAAATTTACCGAGGATAAAGTCGAGAACGAAGATGGTATTGTCATTCGGCCCTGAACCGACCCGTTGCCAACCCTCTTTGAGTCACTGGAAGGGCAGCTTGCCTGCTGCAAAAGAAACAGAAACTGCACGAATTTGTCATATCTACAGACAAAGGAATGGGACGTGGGGTGCCTGATGTGTACAAAATCTGGGCTTATCTTTTCTATCCCCAGCTGTGCCCTTGGACATCAGATGGGTTTATTTTTTGCTTTTGGGCCTCTCGGTTCACACTAAAAAATGTCCGCTAATTTCGTTATGGTTTCAAGAATCTATCCAGGTTGTAAACAAAAGGAGAAAGAGACCCTCAACTTAAGTGATTAACACATTTTATTTAATATGACAAGTACAAAATAGAATATACATACATATAGGCGTACATAGACAAATGACACGCTACAAGAGTGATACATTGTAGAAAAATAGAAAATACGTATAGTCCACAAAATATTACAAATAGAGACATTGTAGGGAGATTATGATCATTTGTGAAGGTGATAGAAAGGAATAGCGAGTAGATGCTTGGCCCTTGATATCGTAAGACCAAACGCCTCAGTCATGTCCAACTCTTCTGGCAACATGCTATCCTGAAGCTCCCAATTAAACAATGCACAAGTTGTGCCAACAATATCTGGACCACAGTAAGGCCTAGATGCATTCCAGGGCAACGTCTTCGGCCAGAGCCGATGGGATAAGCTCAAAGTGATTTCCTCTAACATCAATGTTGCTACCCTCAAATCTTTCTGGTATGAACTCCTCTGCATCTGTCCAAGCACTCGAGTCTCTCCCAATTGCCCACGCGTTTATGATAACACGTGATTTTTTGGGTATGTCGTAGCCATTGACGGTGCAGTCTTCAGTGGCTGCATGAGGAATCAACAATGGCCCAACTGGGTGTAGCCTCATGGTTTCTTTCACTACCATGCTCAAGTAGTCCAATTTCCCCAAGTCTGATTCCTCCACCATTCTCCCCAATCCAACAACATCTTCTAGCTCCTTTTGGACTTTCTTCATTGCCTTTGGGTGCCTCATAAGCTCGGCCAGTGCCCACTCGACCGTAACTGATGATGTGTCAATGGAGCCCACCAACATATCCTGCAAAGAAATTTGCCATTTTTTCACATAATGTGGTGTAGCAGACATAGTCGAAACTATATACGCATGATAAATAGCAAAAGGGACATGTATAACAGATCAATTGAAACAAAATTCCACATAATAAATGGTTCAGATTTACAATCTTAAATCTTGACATGGTAAATTGTCTCACAAGAAATAATTTCGTTTTACTTCGAGTAATGCTAGAATAGAAGGACAAAGAATTAAAATGATGCCACGATTTGGTGTTTAGTGCCACCATGCCTATATGTCTGAGTTTTTGTGTATACTAACAAATATTATGGCTTTGATATGAGGGCGTTCGATTCGGTATTCAGATTGTTCAGATCCCATGAAGGCCACCATGACATCAACAAAGTCTTAGTCCTTTCTCCCTCGTTAGATTGAATACGCTCGTCAATGACCTTCTCAAAGAAGGTATCAAACGCCTTGTTAACAGATTTCATCCGCTTCGTGAAACCTTGGAGGTCGAAGGGAGCTATAAAAGGAATGTAATCACCCAAGTTAGCGGCGCCTATCAATTGGACCCCCTCTTTGATCACAGACCTGAAACCCCTCGCATCAAACTCCTCATCCCTGTACATCTTCCCAAGCACCATCCGCCAGCTCATGACCACGATGAGAGATGAGACATTGTC